AAAATGAACAACACAGCTAAAAAATGCAGCAAAGACCTTAACAGACACCTCATCAAAGAAAATATACAGATGACAAACAAGCACAGAAAAGATACTCATCATCATATGTCATCAGGAAAATGCAAATGAAAACAACAATGAGATAGCACTATGTACCTATTTTGGCCTATCAGAATGGCCAAAAAATCCAGAACACTGACAACACCAATTGCTGGTGAGGATGTAGAGCAACAGGAACTCTCATTCATTGCTAGTGGGAATGCAACATGGCACAGCCACTGTGGAAGACAGTTTGGCAGTTTCTTGCAAAACTAAACGTACAACTTAGCAGTCTTGCTCCTTGGTATTTAAACAAATAACTAAAAAAAAATTATATCCATATAAAAATTTGCACATGGATATTTATAGCAGATTTATTCATAATGGTCAAAAACATGGAAGCGACCAAGGTGTCTTTCAGTAGGTGAATCAATCAATAAATTGTGGTACAGCCAGATAACGGAATATTATTTGGTGCTAAAAAATGAGCTATCAAACCACAAAAAGACATATGGGAACTTTAAATACATATTAAAAGGTGAAAGAAGTCAATCTGAAAAGGCAGATTTCCTGAATTTAAATATTTTTCACTTACCTGACAATACACTTGAACTATTTCTTTTTAATCCAGCCAGAATAAAAACACAGACATCATAAATGACATCTCTCACTGACACTTCCTGCTTTGCTGCAAGAAGAGTTTTTTTTTATAACATCAGATTCATTGAGTTATAATTTACATGTGGTAATATTCACTCTTTTCATATGCTCAGTTCTATGAATTTTGACAAAAGAATAGCGCCACTACATTTAAGGTGTTATACAACATTTTATCACTCTAAAAATTCCCTTATACTCCTCTGTAATGAATCCTCGCCCTCCCCCTTCTTCCAGGCACCCACTAATCTGTTTGTACCATAGTTTTGCCTTTTCCAGAATTTCATATAAATGAAATCATTTGTGTCTGCTTCTTTCACTTAGCATAATGCCTTTGAAAGTTGTCCAGGTTGTTGTCTATAACAACAGTTCATTATTATTTATTGCAGAGTTGTATTCCATTGTATTAATGTATATCCACTTGTTTATCCATTCACCAGTTGAAGTATATTTTGAGTTATTGTGAAGTTTTGGCAGTTATGAAAAAAAGCTGCTATTAACATCTAGGTACAGATTTTTGTGTGAACAAAGTTTTTGTTTCTCTTTGGTAAATACCCAGGACTGGGATTTCAGGGTCAAATTGTATGCTTAACTTTATAAGAAGCCGACAAACTATTTTCCAAAGTAAATGTATCATTTTTCATTTTTATCAGCAGTGTATGAGATTTCTAGTTCTTCTACATTCTCACTAGTACTAGGTATTGACATTTTTAAAAAGCCTTTTTAGTGAGTTGTCCAGGGTATTTCATTGTAATTTTACTATGTATTTTTTGAATTACTAATGGTATTGAGCATCTTTTTTTTTTTTTTTTTTATCCTCACCAGAGGACATTTTTTTCCATTTTTTGTTCAGGTAGAGTGGGAGGGAGAGAGAGGAACAGAGAGAGAGAGAGAAACATCGACGTGAAAGGGACACATCGAGTGGCTGCCACCCCCACAACCGACCAGGGCCGGGGACAAACCGCAACCGAGGTACGTGCCCTTAGCGGGAACCGAACCCGGGTCTCTCCGGACCGCAGGCCGACGCTCTAACCGCTGAGCCAAACCGGCCAGGGCTTGAGCATCTTTTTATATGCTTAATTGCCACTCATATTGTGTGTGTGTGTGTGTGTGTGTGTGTGTGTAAATGTCTGTTTAAATCTTTCAGCCATGTTTTAAATTGGATTGTTTTCTTCTTGTTAGTTGTGAGAGTCAACTCACAGTTGCATTCAGAATATGTCTTTCATCAAATGTGTGTGTTGTAAATACTTTTCCCAGTCTGTGGCTTGCCTTTTTATTTTCATAACCATATCTTTCAAAGAGCACAAGTTTCACATTTTGAAGTCTAATATATCAATTTTTTTTCTCTTAAGAATCTTAACTTTTGTAGTTATGAAATTTTTAACTAAAGGTCAGAAAGATTTTCTTCTATACTTTTTTTTTTTTTTACATTTAAGTATATGGTCCATTTGCATTAATTTTTGTATATGATGTGACTATTACTATTTACAAAGCTCTCTTATACATATGACTACGTGTGATCATCATTAAAATAATCTTTGAGGAAGGCCCATCAGGAATTTTAATCCCCATTTTACAGGTGATAAGACTGAGGATTAGAGAAGTGCTGTGTGACTTGTTCAAAGCCCCAGGGCTGATAAGAGGTGAAATTGCAAGGTAAGAAGTAAAACTGTGATGAGAGTTCAGGTGTCCCTGCTGTCCCAGGACAGTACTTTGGGAGCTAGACTCAAGGTGGTGCCCCAGCACAGCAAATTTTCCCATTGGGGATCCGAACAACCTTTTAGGCACCGACATACAAGACGCTGGCAGAGGGCCAGCCCTGATCTCCCTCTGACTGCACTTCTCTGGCGCAATTGAAGAGAGAAGCTGGCACGGTGCTCTGCTCAGGTGATACTCAATGATGCTTTTTGATGATGATGATGAAGACTTGGAATGTGTTCAGAGGAGAGCTCTGAAAGTAATTACAGAGTTACAAATTAAGGCTAAGAAGAAAAGATAAGGGAACTAAGATTATTTAGCCTAGAAAAGAGAAGCCCAAGATGAAACTTAATAACAGCCTTCAAACAAACAAACAAAAACCCTTGGGCTTTCTTTCTGAGGGCTGAGCAAGGAGAAATGGGCTAGAAAAATATAAGTAAAAGGACAAATTTCTTCCTCCCTGGTGAGCATCGTTACAGATACTTAAGAGCCTTTATAAACAGAATAAACTCTTCTTATTCGAGTTTGGAGCCAGGAATTTGCCCTACATGGGCTCCGATAAAGGATTTCAGCATAATGGTTACATAACTCTTGCACAGTGTCCTTAGAAATCTTCGGGTGGCTCCTGAACCTGTCCTGTGTTTGTGGCCTTCCCTGCTCCTTAGTCTTAGTATCTTCATAAGACTGTTACAATGACCAAGATAAGCCTTATCTTAGCTCTTGAAGGCTTAATTGATGCCCATGCTTCTTGGCACTGAAGCCAAGTAGCCAAGTGCCTAAGGCTGTAGATCGGGCTTAGCATCCCTGGAAGGGCCTAAAATGTTGGCTAGTCCAAATATGACCCCTATGCTTGAGTTCCTTGTTTTCTATCTAGCCTCTGGTGCCACACATCCAGTGATGGGAAGCTTAATTGATCCCAATAGAAGATATATAATAATACAATTAACTTTGGACTAGTAATAAGCAGACTTGGGTTTGAGTGTCAGCTCTGCCAGTAACTTGCTGTGTGATCTTTGGTCTCTTCACATTTCTGAACTTGTTTCTTTATCAGTAAAATGGTATTGGAAGGATATCTTTATTTTAGTTTCTGTTGTTTTAACTGTTGTAACAAATGACCATCAAAAATTGAGTGGATAAAAAAGCTGTGGTACATTTACACAATGGAATATGGCTCAGCCATAAAAGAAAAGAAAATCTTGCCTTTCATGACAGCATGGTTGGGCCTGGAGAGTATTATGTAAGTGAAATAAGCCAGTCAAAGAAAGACAAATACCATATGATTTCAGTTATATGTGGAGTCTAATTAATAAAATAAACTTAAAAAAAAAGAAACACACTCATAGATACAGAGAACAGACTGACAGCTGTCAGAGGGGAGGAAGTTGGGGGCTGGGTGAAAAAGGAGAAGAGATTAAGCAAAGAATAACAAACTCATAGGCACAAACAACAGTGTGGTGATTACCAGAGGGAAGAGGGATGGCAGAAGGTAGAAGACTATAAAAGGGGGATAAATGGTAGTGGAAGGAGACTTGACTTAGGGTGGTGAGCACACAATAGAATATACAGATTATGTATTATAGAATTGTACACCTGAAATAATATTATTTAATTTATTTGTATATAATTTTATTAACCAATGTCACCCCAAAAATCTGATAATACATTTAAAAAAGAGGGTGTGATAAAAAATTCATTGTCTTAAAGGATAAGAAATTTTATTTCTTGTGTAACATTCAGTGTAGGGATTCCATATTGGAGAGGGAGGAAGAAGTTTGCTCAATGTAGTTATTCAGGGGCCCACATTCTATTGGTCAGAATTCAGTCACATGGTCATATTAAACAGCCAAAGAGGCTGAGAAATGTATATCCTTGTGGTGGCTAGTTAGGCTTCATCATAAACTTGATCTTTAAAGACCCCCTGTCCCAGCTCTGAAGTTCTGGGTATGTTTATAAACTAGACTCTTGGTTCTCACATTGCCCTGCTACAGGTACTTTGAAAATCACCCAATTTCTCTGGCTACTAGGGAGTAGCTGGTTGGCAGTGCAGGCCAATGCAATGTCCCCTATAAAAGGCCAGGGAAACAGCCCAAATGTCCATCAATTGAACAGATTAAACAAGCTGTGGTACATATATACAATGGAGTACTATGCAGCTATAAGAAAGAAAGATCTCTTATCCTTTGAGACGACATGGAGGGACCTGGAAAGTATCATCCTAAGTGAAACAAGCCAAACAGAGAAAGACAAGTATCATATGATCTCACTCATTTGTGGAATATAATGAACATAACAATCTGAGGATTGAGGTAGTCCCAGAGACGTGGAAGTGGGGTACAGACTGACAATCCCCAGAAGAGGGGGTGGGGGGAAGAGATAAACCCCAGAACTTATATGCATGTATGCATGAACAATGGACATGGACAACAAAGCTGGGGACAGGGCGGGGAGGGAGGGGGTGGGGGGAATCAGTGGGGGGAAAAGGAGAAACATCTGTACAAAAATAAATTAATTAATTAAAAATAAACTAAAATAAAAGGCCAGGGAAGAAGTCAAACCACCAGATACCACATTAAGCTAAGTTATCTTTGTGCTTGTTTTCTCTGCAGCATGGGTAGGAGCCCTCTCAATGGGCATGATCTTCTTCTGTTCTCCCATTGTGAGTATATTTACTGATCGTTTGGGCTGCCGAATCACAGCAACTGCAGGGGCTGCCATCGCTTTCATCGGCCTCCATACTAGCTCCTTCACCAGGTAAGGCTAGTAGTTGCTGGACATTTGCCCAAGCCTGAGGGTTGGCTCCATTCTGGACTTCAACTAGGGACACTCTTCTCATTGGAGAATCCCCTATGGCCCTTTTTATGTTGGGTCCTCATTATCCAATGGGACTCATCTAAGTAGGGTCCCCAGTGCCCCAAAGAGGACCCAAGAGTTCAAAAGTGGTGGACATAGTCTAAGTTTGGAAGTTCATACAGCTGGGCCATGTCCAGTTTTGGCCACTGAACAGCTATGGAACAAGTGATGAGCACCATTCCCTCCTTTTGAGCCTCAATTTCTGTATCTGTAACATGAGAGGATTAGACCAGATGGTCTTTTCACATGTCTTCCACCTCTGCCATTTTATTGTGCCTTCTCGGGAATGAGCTTTTAGAGCAAGCTCATGTGGACACCTACCATTATAGGATTCCTGATGGAATCTTATGCTGAAAAAAAGGTCAGCTGAGCCCAAGGCTGTTTAACATTTCTGGCCCCTTTCAAGATATTTGTGGCTGCAAATGCATAGACAGTTTGGGACACATAAATATTCATATCTTGGGCATGAGAAGGGATATTTAGCAGCATTCCCCCCCCCCCCCCGAGGTCCAAACCTAGCACCCAGCTAACCAGCCAGGCCTAACCTAACTCAATCTCTGGTCCTGTTGGTTCCATTGGCAGAAGTCAGTAGTGTCAGGCAAGAAGCAAGCTACACGTTCGTTTTCTGTTTTGTTTCTGCCGGCCCTGCAGAAGCATGTCTGTAGTTGAGGGGAGAAGTGAAAACTCTCCACCACAGAATGAGAAACATGGGATTCCTAAAGAACTCCAACTTTCTGTCAAAGTTACTTTGAAAGTTATGGTAGCTCCTATTTCCAATCTGCCTGGGCTTGTGTAGGAAGATGCTGGCCTGGAGATACAGTTAATTTGTCAGAGATTTGCTTTCTGAGCTTGGCTCCGCAGAGTAGGACCATGGTTATGTTTTCTAGGCCTAAGGTTCCACTCACATCAGAGAATGGTAGTGGTGTTCTGCCACAACTGGGCCCTTTGAGGACGAACCAGCTTTCTTTATGACTTGTGCATTTCTGGCTGCCCTGCCTACCCTACAGTAGAGTTTGGATCTTGGCTCAGTGCCATCTAATTCAGTCAGAGGAGGGGAAAACCATGTCCTACCTGGAGCCTGCTCAGCCCTCCCAGGGAGGCAGCTCCAAACTCTTTTGGAACTCCTTTAGTGTTTGGCCTCATTTGCCCTCAGCAAGCTGGTATCTGGCTCCTTCTGAGAAGGAGCTAGGCCCTCAAAAGCAGCTCCAGTCTCAGCACTACACAGCAGAAGCCTGTTTTTAAGGCTGAGCATAGCAAAGTGTAAACAAATTAGCAACATACGGATCCCATTTCCCTTCCAATCCACATAAGCTGTTACAGGAGGGAAGGAGCTCAGATGTGTTTTCTTCTGGCACTCTTCTTTAGGCACATTGCAGTAGGCGTTCTGTTCTCCAGTCCCAAACCACTCCCCCAACCCCTTTGCCTTTTCTGTAAGAACATCTTCAGAGCCAGGAAATTTTCTGGATGGCTTCACATCCAGTGGAAAAATGGTTCTGTTTGTGGCTAAGGCTCCAAGTCATCCTTCCTGTTGTCTGAATCAGAGCTCTGAGTTCCTGTGGATGGTGTAAGATGGAGCAGAATACAGGCAGGGCTGGGGAAGACTTGGCAAGTCTATGAAGGGGCCTCCTGCCTTGGGTGTAGATGGAAACAGATCTACCACATAGCATGCTAGACTGAACCCCATGCTTTGCTCCCACTGGTCCTCACTCTGAGGGTTTAACTCCTGTCCTTTAGACAATATCCCTGGCCCAGGCCATCCCAATGAGTCCCTAGAATCTCATGGGAGCAGGCCCCAAGGAATCCTTTAGTATGAGGACTGCCATTATCTATGGGGAGGAACTGGCTGACCATACAAGAGTATTAGGTAATTAAATGGTCAGATAAAAACTATTGCAAAATATGTGAGGCTTCAAAAAAAAAAAAAAAAAAAAAAGATAGAAAAAAAGAAAGAAACAAGATTCCTCCCTGCTGACTACTTTGCTTTCTGTCACAGAGGCTTATGGCCACCACAGGACCTAAGAACTTTAAGACAAAAACCTATCTTACTTTGTGAGACCCATAACTTTTTTGAGGCTCCATTTCTCGTCAAGCAACCATGCTACTCTGGGAAGCTAATCCATACCATGTCTAGCAACAGGAGCCAGGCTCTGAATGTTAAAGGGACTTTTTACATTAGTATCCTCATGGAGATCATCTAGGGCCTGGAGTGAAAGGTCTTGGGATATTTAGATTTTGTGCAGGGTTGGGGATGAAATATTAGCTTCAGAAAGATATTGCAGAGTCCTATGGAGGATCTCAGTCTTCCAGGATCTTGGCTTCTTGCAGACCTTTGTTGATACTTGGGATAAAGCTTTGGCTACCAGCCTACCATGCTGTCTAGGTGAGCAGTAGGTGAAACTGTTCTCTCTAAATCACTGACTTACTCCTTGTAGCCCCACATACAGCCTTTGCATAGGCTGGTTCTGACTTTGTTTTGAACAATCCTCTTTGACTGGGTGTTATACTCAAAATAGAAACACATACTTGGAGTCAAGTTCAACCCTTGCTGGTTCATTATACTACCTTGGGTACATTACTTTACTTCTCCGAGCCTCTGTTTCCCCATCTGCAAAATGGGGATGAGAAGGTCGTGTTCTTTGTTATGAGGGTCATTGGTAAGTGGGGCTGTGGGTTAATGGTGATGGAATGTAAGTCTCAGGAGGGTGAAGGGAAAAGGGTAGGTGGTTTGCTGGTCAGGCTGCTGAGGATAGCTCTTGGTATCTCTCCCACAGCTCACTAAGCCTGCGTTACTTCACCTATGGGATTCTCTTTGGTTGTGGCTGTTCCTTCGCCTTTCAGCCATCTCTCGTCATCCTGGGCCACTACTTTCAACGCCGCCTGGGTCTGGCCAATGGTGTAGTGTCTGCTGGGAGTAGCATCTTCTCCATAGCCTTCCCCCTTCTCATCAAAACGCTGGGGGCTAAGATAAAGCTCGCCCAAACCTTCCAGGTGCTGAGTACCTTCATGTTTATTCTTACGCTGCTTTCCCTCACCTACCGGCCCCTCCTGCCCAGCTCTCAAGACACCCCAAGCAAGAGAGGTGTCCACACCCTGTGCCAACGCTTTCTAGCTCAACTCAGGAAGTACTTCAACATGCGAGTGTTCCGCCAACGTACCTACCGTATCTGGGCCTTTGGGATTGCTGCTGCTGCCCTTGGCTACTTCGTTCCCTATGTACACCTGGTGAGGAATACCAGGGTGGGCCTACCCTACCTGGTCCCAAGAATCTTCCCTTAACCTGTCTGAAATGCAGAGGGTAGGGGTGGAGGACATTGGAAGGGCAGAACTGAGAAGAAACAGTAGTTGGAGAAACTCAGAGTGGGAAAGAGCACAGGTTGAAGGAAGATCTCAGTGGAAAATAAGGAGAATTCCTTAGGGGAAGGCCCATGCCTATGGTTTCTCCTACTGATAAGTCTAGACAGGTATTCAGGAGAAGATAAGCATCACTGGGATGCAGGAGACTGGCTTAGATGACTCCAGGATAGGGTTTTCTAAAAGTGTGTTCTATGCAATGCTGGTTTTTGTTCTCAAATAATTTTGTTTAGGAAATGACATATATTACATCTCTTTGCCTTCAACTTTGTTTAACCAGCATCCACCCAACTTATGTGGCCAAAGAACTGTCAGTTGTAGTCTAGTTATCTTTCATAGACCTCATGTTTCTTAAAACACACTTTTAGGAGTACTACCTGAAAGTTGGTGGATCCTTCTCCCCTAGTGACCTGCTATTTCCCCAGTCTGTCAGATCTGGGTAAGGGAGTGTGGAGATTGTAGAAGACCACTGGAACTTCCTCAGTTGTTGAGCCTGTATTCTGTCCTGCCAGGACTTAGAAGGGGCTTAGAGACACCCACTCCTCTCAGCTGTTGTTCAAAAGCCTAGAATTTAGAGAGCCAGGGGATATGCAGCCTTTTAAGCTCTTAGAAGCAGGCAGGGGGTTTGTCCCAGAGCTAGAGCTACAAGGGAGGAAGTTCTTGCTGTGGTCCAGATAAGTAAACAGTCGAGGGTTCTGGATATGCCAATCGTTAACCAGTCAGCTCCTCTTCTTTCTCTTGTCCTGGGGGGTCTGGTGCTATGCTTTTCAGATGAAGTATGTGGAAGAGGAGTTCTTGGAAATCAAGCAGACCTGGGTGCTCTTGGTGTGTATTGGTGCTACCTCAGGCCTTGGGCGCCTTGTATCAGGCCGTGTCAGTGACTCTATTCCTGGACTCAAGAAGATCTACTTACAGGTGAGTGTGGCTACCCTGTCCACTGCGGGGAAGAATACAGAAAAGTACCAGAAAAGGTCAGATCGCTTCCCTTCTCTAGGTCCCACTCTCCTCATTTGTGCAATGAGAATAATTCTTGCTTTTCCTATCTTACCTCACAGGTGAGGATTAAAAGAAATAAAACAATCTTAGATGAAACAATGAACTGGTTATCCAACTCCCTCATTTCATAAATGAGGAACTGAGGCCCAGAGAGAGAAAGTGACTTGTCCAAATTCATCCTGCTTGTGCTTCAGGCTGAGAGCACAAGATAATGGATAAACTTCTTTCTCTTGAGCTATTCAACATACTCCATCACAAGAATGTGGCCCCTTTCTCCCTGGGTACAGGACCGAGAGAGGAAAGGAGTGTGTATGTAGCTTCAGGTCTTCTGAAGAGCCATCCACTAGACCCTGCGGTTCCTAGTATTGGACAAGACAGGCACATGTATCTGGTGTCAAGCTCCTGGATAGTCTGTTGGAAAGGAAATGGTGACTACCTGCAGGACAGCCTCACTTTGGGCCATTCTTATTTTCTTTATTGATTTTAGTTAGAGAGTAAAGGAGAGGGAGAGAGAGATAGAAACATGGATGAGAGAACATCAATTGGCCGCCTCCTGCGTGCCCCCCACTGGAGATTTGGCCCACAGCCTGGGCATGTGCCCTGACTGGGAATCAAACTGGTGACCTCTTGGTGCATGGGTCAATGCTCAATCACTGAGCCACACTGGCTGGGCTGGGCCAATTCTTGAAGCCTGATTCTCAGTTCCAAGAGAGATTTTTAATTTCCAAACTTTGGCAGGGCCTTACTGAGCATATTAAGAGGCAGCTAGATACAATAGGTAGTAATAAAAGCTGATTGAAATCAGTTAATGGGGTACATTGTGTTATATAATGGTATTAACTATTAATTGCCATACCATTAAGGCTTGGATGTTGATAGGTAGGTCTGGTTTTATCTTATAGTTGTTAATAAATCTCCTAGAGAAGAAGCTGGGGTACCTGGGTTCTTATTCGTAGATTCTGCCTAAATATCCCAAAACAGTCTGGGTAAAGTTTAAAGCTCCCTCAACAAACAGATTTTCTCAGATGACAAGACCATGTCATTTCTTATCCTCTCTAAAAACCAAATGATGAACCCAACAAACCCACTGACAAGAACATAGACTCGCAGTTAAGTAGACTCTCTCTTAAAAACTTTGAATCCTTTAATATAGGACTTAGGGCCTAAGTAACTAACTAGTCCAACTGCTCTCTCTGTTGACACCCCATGGCCCCATTTTATAAATCGTAGAAATGAGGCTCTGAGAAAGAAGGTACGATTTACTGTGTGGTGTTGACTGGCAAGCATAACATGACCAATCTCAGGCCCTTGCTCCTCTAGGTCATCTCCTTCCTGCTCTTGGGCCTGATGTCCATGATGATTCCCCTGTGCCGGGGCTTTGGAGGCCTCATCGTTGTCTGCCTCTTCCTGGGCCTTTGTGATGGATTCTTCATCACCATCATGGCCCCCATCGCATTTGAACTGGTGGGCCCAATGCAGGCCTCACAGGCCATTGGCTACCTCCTGGGCATGATGGCCTTGCCGATGATTGCTGGGCCCCCCATTGCAGGTGAGGCTAATATTACAGGGATGGTATGCATGGGGGAGTCCTGTCTTCCCTGGGCCCTAGCTTTCCTAGTACTTCTACTTAAAATTCCCTTTCTCTTATTCTCTGTGTAAACAGCCTTGTCAGAGTGCATGAAACCCCTTACCACTATAGGTGAAAGAGACTAAGCACAGTATATGTGCATGGATTCATTTTGAGGAATAAGCTTTTCATGGCTGTATATCTGTTTCAGTGAAGTTTTATTGCAGACAGTATGGCTGATTCCAAGAGGGTAGAGAGATAAAAGTGTTTGGTCTTCTTTACCATTCTATTGATTTAGTATCCCCCTTTCTCTTCACAGGCAAGTAATTATTTGTAAGGTAACTAGGCAGGAGGAAAAGAGAAAGTGGGCCCTGGTTTTAGCAAGATATAGAGACACACTCCTCCTCCTCTACTGGCTTCTAACCTAAGCCTATAGAAGAGATTTGATTAAGGCCACATCCTAGGACTGGGCCACTGAGGGTCACTTCCAGTAGGCAGCAAGCAGCAGGCAGCAGGCAGTAGGCAAAATGTTGGCTTACAATGTCTAAGAAGGGTATTGTTGGTACCCCAGGAAATATAGTAAACAAGGAAAACTAATGGAAAGAGAACTATATTTCCTTTCTTTAGGATTTATTTTAAGTATTAATTAATGGGCTAGCTTTTCCTAGGCTGGCCAACTGGGCTAACTCAACAAATATTCTTTGAACACAAATTCTGTGTGCCATGTCTTAAGTTTACTGTTCATGCTGTATAACAGTGGTAAAAACTTCCATTCAGGCCCTATGCTACACTGCCCACTGGGTGAGGGGAGCCTCTACCCAGCCCCTGAGCCGAAAGGTGTGTCCCAAAATTCATATCTCTTTCTAGTTTGATTACCTCCTAAGCAGCCCAATTTACTTGCCTTTACTCAGTAGTGTTTCTGGGTTTATTCATTCCTCCTATGAAGTGGCTCACATTAGCTTCTGAAGGTGAGCAGAGGAGTCCTAGCGTCCCATGCCGAACACATCCATGGTATTCGGAACTTAGAGGAACCCAGAGGTACCGACCATATCTGTAACTTGAAGGAAGGATACACATATAGCCTCCTCTTAGGACAAATGAGAATGTAGGAGAGAGGGTAAATAGGAACCTGGCTGAATTGTTCCACAAGAACACTCACCCAAGTTGGGGCTGGAAGGGTATATCACTGTGAACCAAGACAAGGCTTGGCCATATTCTCTGGACTTCTTTTATTTTTTTATTTTTTATTTTTATTATGAATTTTTATTTATTTTTTTGTTACAGATATTTTACCTTTTTACCCCATTGGCACCCCCCACCCCACCCCCCCTCACCCCGTCCCCGGCTTAGTTGACCATGTCCATTGGTCATGCATACATGCATATAAGTTCTGTGGTTTATCTCTTCCCACCCCCCCCAACCCCCATCCCCTCTTCTGAGGGATGTCAGTCTGTGCCCTACTTCCATGTGTCTGGGTCTACTGTATTCCTCAGACTGTTATGTTCATTATATTCCGTATATAAGTGAGATCATGTGGTATTTGTCTTTTTCTGCTTGGCTTCTTTCGCTTAGGATAATACTTTCCAGGTCCCTCCATGTCGTCTCAAAGGATAAGAGATCTTTCTTTCTTACCGCTGCATAGTACTCCATTGTGTATATGTACCACAGCTTTTTTATCCATTCGTCTACTGGTGGACACTTGGGCTGTTTCCAGATCTTAGCTATTGTAAATAGTGCTGCTATGAACATGGGGTACATATATTCTTCCTGATTGGTGTTTCAGGCTTCTTAGGGTATATTCCCAGCAGTGGGATCACTGGGTCAAATGGAAGTTCAATTTTTAATTTTTTGAAGTAGCACCATAGTGTTTTCCATAGCGGCTGCACCAGTCTGCATTCTGGACTTCTTTTAAATTAGCTTCCCTCTTTTAAATTAACTGCATGCCTAAGAGTGACTAGATGTTATCTGTAGCTTCATGAAAGTCACAAATGGAGAATTGTAAAAGAAATTTCTTTAGCTTCTTTCATAATGAGCATTAGCCTCTAGGGCCTGCAGCCCCAGTATCCCAGAGGAGTCACCTGCTTTTGTAACAGAGGTTAATTTCTCACAATTAGAAGTATTTCAATTGCAGGGGGCTCCTTGGGTCAAGGTAGTTCAGGCAAAAATTCTCTGAATAGGTATTGTGATAGCCCCTAAAAGAGGTAGAGGGCACCTTTGGGCAGTAGGGTAAAGCCGAGCTTAACTTTTCTCTCTTAACTGTTTCAGGCCTCCTCCGCAACTGTTCTGGGGACTACCATGTGGCCTTCTACTTTGCTGGTGTGCCCCCAATAATTGGAGCTGTAATCCTCTTCTTTGTCCCTCTGATGCATCAAAGGATGTTCAAGAAAGAGCAAAGGGATTCCAGCAAGGACAAGATGTTGGCCCCTGACCCAGACCCCAGTGGGGAGCTGCTGCCAGGCTCCCCCACCCCTGAAGAGCCAATCTAATGCCTCTTCCTTGTCATTGTGTGCTCCTCTCCAACCCCTTTCCTTCACCCCACCCTGCTCAGCATTTACATTTTTGCCACCAGCACACTTGTTCCCAAACCTGTGCACACATTTCAGCCACCTGACCATCCCTTTGGAGCCAAAGCTCCAGATGTTCCAAACTCATTAACCAAATTCTCTTCATGAATGCCTTTAAACTTGCCAGGGTCCTTTTTCTCCCATGACCTAGGAAAGCTTGGGATCACACCCTGGCCTTTGGAATCTCTCCCTATACTTTCTAACCCCTAGGGGAGGAGGGTCATGGGACCTCTCTTTCCCCTAGCTTGTTAGTCACTCACTAGAAGCAACTGTCAAAGGTGCTACTGTGTCCCCAGGAGCCTGGTGGGAAGACCCAAGCCTCTGTGTGCCGAGGAGCTCCTTGCTATCTGACCTTAGGAGCCGTTGGTGGAGAGGGTTGGGGGAAGGGCAGAGAGGTAAAATGGAACTATGAGCCTTGTTTAGCCTCAGAGTTTCTGAGTGCTGTAACTTCCCAAAAACTGTGGGTGCTGTTAGTTTATAAGTGTACAGATAGTCTCCCCAATATCCAATTGGTTAACACTCTGCCTCCTTCTTCCCTTCCTCTTTTTTCCCCTCGACTTCCTACTCATTTCTCTTCCCTCTATATTTCTTTTTATGACTGTCAGACACATGGGTGCCTAAAGGAAGGAGGGACCCAGATCTTGGGCCAATAAGCCTTACCTTGGCCTAGTCCACCCCTAATAGTAGCATCAGTCATACTCATCTCAGGCTGAGCCATACCTCACCTTTTGGCTCAAGCTGCTATAATCATAGACTGGAAGAGTAGAATACCATGTAGGGAAGGGGCCTTACAGAGCACTCACTGATTTTTACATATTACCCATGCCAATGCTTTAACCTGCAGGCCCTCCCAAGCAGGGATATGTCAAAATGTGAAGAAATCCCTTTCATCTCAGCAGGCAGAGGAGGACTGATGCCAGGGAGATGACATGGTATGGGGAGAGGCAACTCAACCTGGTGAAGTACCAACTCTTCTATCTCTCATTATTCACGACAGGCCAATATTTCCATCTGGGGTAGGCCATGCTAGGAACTGTTTTAGGCAAAATCCCATTCCCAACTTAGATCCCCAAAAGGTAGAGGCATCAGCTACACCAAAGTTTGGACAGTTTCTTTTAAGAAGGTAAAACCTTGCTAGCCTTTACCAACCAATGTGTCCCTCATGCTGTGTATCTTAGCCCACTCTGATTAGTGGGCATTAAAGGTGCCAGGAAAAGGTAGACTCTGGACCACCTTCACCCCTGTAAAACAGGTATCAGATGATTTCCAATGCCCAGATTCTGGGCAACAGTCTTGCTGAAGAGGATTCCCAGCTAGGCTGTGTCTAGCCAGCGCAGCTCACCTCTTTAGGAGCTCAACCTCTCTCCTCACTCAGCCTCTTCTTGTTCCTTTCTCCCTATTCTGGGCCTTGATCTTTTGTGTTTCTATTACCCAAAGTTTTTCTCATCTTCTTGCCATCCTTGGATGTCACTAAGAGCTAACACTAATGTGCCACTGCAAGCCAGGGCCAGGAGGATGAGATTGCCCCTTGGGGGCTCCAAAGAAGACAGTGACCCCTACCCATGAGTTTTTCCATTACAAATAGGCAGCTGGGGCATTGTTGGCCTCTTATGGCTTCGTTCAAGGCCAAAGTCCTGATCCTCCTCCACTGTCCCAGTTCAGCTCTTATCCATTCCTCAAAGGAAAACACACTGGTTCTTGGCTCTGTAGGTAGGAAGAGGCATAATTACTATCCTATCAGCTCAAACAGCAGTGGAACAGGAGAAGCTGCGCCCCAGGAGCCTTGTAATTCCTAGGAGAGACCACTGAAAATGTTGGAGCCAACAAAACCCCAGCTTCCACTCCTCCCTGCCCCCCCCCCCCCCAGCCAAGTCACTTGTGGGCGGTTCTGCAGGGTCTCCTTGGTTGCACATGGTGTGAATAGCTCTTAAGAATCTGGCTACCACCCGCTTGTCTCCAGATGAAGGAAAGTCATTCACAGGTCCCAAATCTGCCCTATCAGGCACCACATAATACGGCGGGGTGTCAATTCTTACACATGTGCACGTGCGTGTGTGGACTTGTGTGCTTATGGAGAGAATGTTGGTTGGCAAAAGCAGCACAGTATTAATGTTTAGGGTAGGACGCAGCCTCTTATGAATCCATAGTTAAATCTAGGTGAATGAACGAAATTTGGGAGCTTGAGACCTGGTACATTAAATCCTCAAAAGGTTTGGAACAAAATAAACATCTAAAAATCTAGTTTTGTTATGTGAGTTGCCTACAAGGGTGAAATAGTATTAAGCTGAGTAACGGCAGGAATTTGGTTTCAGAACTGAAATCTCATTTGAAATCAAATTTCTACCAGGGTCTACACTGTCTGTGAGAGCAGAAAATTTAAAATGAGCTACATGGGGGTTTGCAATTGGGCAAACTGTTCATGACGGGATTTTAAGGGAGTTCTGAAGGGGAACAGTAGTTGCTTTACAAAATGAGGACATGGTTAGTGGCTGGAGTAGAGGCCCCGCCAAGGCCACACCTTATTACAAACATCCTATGTTGAAAATTAGCAAACACCTAGCAATAATCCAATTCAAGACCCCTTTCCTCTCCCTTGTTACTGATGGGGGAAACTGAAGGGACTGGTACACCCGTATTACACAGCTAGGCAGCAATAAAGACCTTGGTGGTGATGTAGAAGAGACCTACAACAATGACAAAGCTGGAAATAAACTTCTAGTCTCCCAGGTCTATACTCCGCAGTAAATTGAAGTGGGGGAACTAAGGCTTAGGGATAGGAAGGGACTACAGCATGTTCACATAGTTCATCAGTGATGGGGCAGGCTGACACTTGAACTAGGTGGCTGACTTCCAGTCCAGACCAAACCCCTCATTTTACAGATGAGGAAAACTGATCCAAGGAGGGGAAACTGAGTTGCCTACTTCACTCAACAAATATGCAGTGAGACCATTTCCACCAGAATGTCAGCAGGAACATCTCCAAGCAAAAATAAAATCTAATGAGCCAAGTGTCACTTTTAGTATACCCCATCTTTCCATGATTATTCTCATTCTCAAATGACACATATTCTTGGTATTCTCTCTTCATGCAGCCTTGGCTTTGGAGAGCTGTTCCCACCTACTGCCCTTTCACCTCCCAAAACGAAAAAGATTCAAATAAAATCCATCTCCTTAAGGCCACACACTGGGCAGGGCAGAGGCAAAGAAAGGAGACTACTTTTCTTTGAGAGAGGCTGGTTCAACACCCAGCTCTTGGCTATTGTCCATTTCTCCCCTGACTCAGTGCAGACATCCTTGGGATGCTAGCCTCTCATTGAGACTAATTATTTTACCCTGCTGCCTGGCTCCAGGCTCTCTCACCCAAGGTTGCCTGCCCCTCAGTCACCCCCGCCCATTAGCCCTAGGGCCCCAGTCTGTGCTTGAACACTCAAGATTAGATTTCAAAGCGGTGGAGTCCCATAATTTTTATGAGCATCTTTCCTCCAGGGCCTTTTGATGTCTGAAGAGGCAGTCAGCAGCTCCCTGCCACATCACAGAAGCAGAGCGGGCCAGCTGACAGTAGTTACAGGTGCCCCCAGCGAATCCCTGCCATCTAACAGCTAGTACCTAGATAGCGTAGGTGCTGGTTTCAAGCAGAGCAAGACGTAAGTTATGAAATTCTGATAAGCTGAAATGAACAGGAGACTCCAGAGGTTTTTAGATTCCTGCCTTTCAGCTCTCTCTAGTGGTCACCAAAGGCAGAGTTGTGTGCCTGATTTCCAAGTCATTTCAGCAATATTTTCCAGGGACCTGTTTTGTGTCAGTCTCTCTGCTAGAACTCATGGATGTCAGGAATGATAGGAACAGAGATGGAGAAAACAGAGAACACACACAAGGAGGAATTTGTACTATATTGTTACCAAGACGCATTTTCTTCTTGTGGACCCCAGTGGCCCTGAGCATACCACAACCCACTTGGAGCAGCAAGGGGCCCCCTCCGGGACGGAGGCCACAGGGTTTCCCCTCAGCGTTGCCCCCGACGGGCGTCCGTGGGGCCCGAGGCGCCAGAAGAACGGGTCGCTGCTCAGCGCTGGTTTCTGGGGGAGCCGGAGCCGGGTAACAGTGGCCCATTGCTCACCCCTCCCCAGCGTCGGGCCGCGTCCAGCGCCTCGGCTCCCGGGTCCCACCCGAGACCCTGGCCCCGGCCCAGGGATGGGCGCAGAGACCAGAGGGACCGCGACCCTTCTGTCCCCCGCACGCCCGCCCACGCCGCCCTGGGCCCGGGGATCCGGGAGGCGCTGCTAACGCGTCCAATGTCCACCAGGTCCCCAGGCCACCCCACACCCCGGGGGTGCCTGGGGATGGACATCGGGCTGTCGGGGGCGGAACAGGGCCCGGGCTGCTGCTCCGGGTCCAGCCGCTGGCCTCGGGTCCCCGTGGGCGGGAGGCTGTCGCTTCCGGCCCCTCCGTGGCCCCCCGGGCATCGCCCCGAGACGCGCCACCGAGATGCGTGTCCCCGCTGCTCCGAGTGGGCCCGGCCCGCCCCGGACAACCACGCCCCGCGCCCAGGGGAGCGGGCGGGAAGGGAGGCGGGCGGCCCAGCCCCGGCTCCCAGCGGTCCGGGAGCCACACGGACCCACAGCGGCCGCCTGTGTCGGGGCTCAGCTGCTCCTGGACCCCCGCCGCCAGGGTCTGCAGCGTCGGCCCAGAGGCCTCCAGGGGACCCGGCCGGGCGGAGGGAGACCGGCCCCGACCAGCTTGGCCCCCAGGCCTCCAGGGCGGCGCGGGGCAGCAGCTGGTGGCGGTCCCCAGCCGTCTAGGCGGGAGGCCAGCCGGGATGAGGGGCCTGGGGGCGGGCTGGGCCCAGAGCAGCCGCCGTCCTCGCCCTCGCCCTGTCTGGGACCTCGAACCCCGGGCCGGCCTGCGGGCCGCCGCCTCCACGCAGCTCAGCACAGCGGCACCGCTTCTGCGCCACCCTGGCCCCCATCGACGTCCCCCACCCCGCCCCGCCCCACCCCGCCCCCGAAAAGCTGTCCCCGACGGTCCCAGGGCGGCCGGCTGCTGGGCGCCCCCTCTCAGGCCGCACGCGGTGCGCGGGTCCCGCCCGGGCCCGGTGAGCCTCCAGCAGCTGACTCCGTCCCCTCAGGGGAGCTCGCCGTTGTGAGCTGGCGGGACTTCCGGCCAGGAGTGGTAGGAAGGACCGGGCAGTCCCAGGACCGGCCCTGCTCCATGTGCTCCCCGCCCAGCACCCCTCCAGGGGCCCCAGCCTGCTCTCTTCTGCCCGAGCGGGGCGAGGAGGGGCCAGGGCATCGCCTCCACGCCCCTCCCGCTCCCAAGGGGCCGTCTTCTGGGGGACCCAGCCTTGCAGCCCCTTGTGCCTTAAAGCCTGGCACGGGCCAGTGTCCGGCTGTCCGTCTGCGATCTTCCAGCCGCCTCCTCCTCGCTCGCTTCCTCTCCACCCCGCGCCCCTGCACAGCCGCACAGACACCCCCTTCCTCCTGCAGCCCCACGAGCACGGTGGCCTGCCCCCACCCCAGCCCCAAGCACAGCTGGACCCAGAGGAGGCCTCCTTCCGTGAGAACGGGGTGCTCTCTCTCCCCTTTGGGCGGCAGTGTGCAGTGCACAGGTGCCCCCCTCTCCCGCATCAGCTCCACCCTGTCCCCAGCTCTGGGAGGCGCTGGTCTGGGGCCTGTGTTACAGGTGGGGAAGTGAGGCCCGGAGGGGACCTGACGTTTCAGCCCTCTCGTCCACGGCTCCTTCCAGCGCCCCTCAGGAAGCGGGGGAGCGGTGGGCTGCTCTTTCCTCCTGACCTCGCAGAAAGCCTGCTGCTCCCGGACTGCGCACCTGCTGCCCCCAGGCCCCTCTGCCCCTCCTCCCGGAGCAAAGCTCTGGCTACTGGGGAGCAGCAGGGCCCCAGGTGGGGCAGAGAAGGCGGCAGAAGCTGAGCCAGATCCCGGGCACCCACCGCCAACCCACCCACTTCCGCCTCTTCCTTGGGGGTGGGGGGAGGAATGTGGGAGAAGAGCCAGGAGTCTCCCATCTCTTTCCCTGGCGGTATGGCACAGGGTCTGCTGGGTTCCTCTGCCTCGAAGTGGAGGCAAGACTCCAAAAGGGGCTGTTCTGGATCTCACCCCCTCAGTACTTCTCTCATTATTCAACAACATTATCATCAGTAAGGGCTAATTCCCTGGGCCTTGCTTGATGCTCAGAGGCCCTCAAAGGGTCCTTTGTCTGGGCTGGTTATTGGGAGGGCATGTGAGGAGCAATTCTCGGGAGGCTCTGCTTTCACAGGAAAAGATTCATGTGTCTACGTGGTCTACACAAGTAGCTCAGAGGCTCCCTCTCTACTCGAGTTCCAGTGCTTTTCCAAGCTACAGAGTAACAAATACATGCAATTAAATGAGGGTAACTCCCAAGGCAGCATTTGGGGAAAGAGAAAGTGGAGAACATGCCTAAATCTCTGCTCCCACCCCTCAGTGAGGTAGACTTGTCCCCTATATGCCTCTCAGCAACTGTGGTGATTACCATCCCTCATCTCCCTTGTCCAGTCAAGAGATTCCCTCTACCTGCAGGGGAGCTTGGTTTCATCTAACAGCCCCCACCCCTTAGTACCACATTATTTGGTGGGCTCTAAATTCCCAGATCCCAGTAAGTACTAGCCTAAGCCTTTCCTTCAGGAGAACAGCTTCAAAAATCCAAGCCACGTCCTCCAAGGTTCTCAGTCACCTGTCGACCACAATGGCTGGGTCTGGAATGCAGGGAGAGCCAAGTTTCATGGACAATCAAGTTCTAGGCAAAAGTAGTTCCTTTCAGTAAATCTGTAAATAGTTGTAACTA